TTTTCTCTCTCTCTTTCTCTTTTTTTTCTTCCTTCAACAAAAGGACGAAAATAAACGGCATTCTATGTCCTGTCCTTTTCTCTTTATTTTCTTTCCGATATTTTTCTTTCTCACCTGGGACATGAATTATCTATTGTCTATAGATATATCTGTGCATATGTCCATATGTGTGCGTGTCCTGTGTGTGTTATTATATTATTGAAAAAAAAAAAAGAAAAGAAAATAAAATCTGCAGAATCGGAAAATATAAGAAGGAAATCAAAGATATTTCCATACATATATATATTTATACATTTTCGTCTGTCGATAAGCAATCCTTCTTATCAAAGATCATTCGACGTAACGTTTGTGAAGCTATTCAAATATATGAAAAATCTTTTATATGAAAAATCATTTTTATATTGTTCGACGTCGAACGTTAAAGTGTTTCGATGATGGAAAAAATTTTTATATGGTACTTCAGTGGTATATCGGGGTCGAAAAATTTTTATAACGAAAGCATAAAGATTTTTTTTATTTTTATGTATATATATATATATATATATATTTTTTTTTTAACAAAGGTATATTTGATTACTTTTGGGAAATTATTCTTAAGCGAGTCTCACTCGAAGTTTTCATCAATGAAAAGTGAAAATTTCTTTCAACGAAATATAGATATTCTTTCATCCAAATTAAGAAGCTTCGGGTTGGATTTTAATCTATAAATAAAGCTTCTTCCGAAAAGTAGCCGCTCTTTGAGAAGTTCTCGAAAGGAAATAAATTCGTTTTTCTTCTTCTTCTTCTTCTCTCTCTCTCTTGCTCTCTCCCCTTCTCAAAATAATTACACAGAAAGAAGCTTGAAACGTTTCTTTCTTCCCCTTTTTTTTCTCTTTTTTTTCTTTCTTTCTTTTTTTTGTTTTTTTTTTGTTTTTTTTTCCATTCAATTAAGAAGCAATTAACGTCAAGCGGCAATCGTTTTCAATCGACCAAACGTTCTCGCGATTCAACGTATCGAGATATTAATTAAAATTAAAGTTGTAATGAAATGAAATAAAAGAAAAATCATATAAAATAAAATAGAAAAATAAAAATTAAAAAAAAGAAAAAAAGAAGAGAAAAAAAAAAGAAATAAAAGAAATCGGGTGGAAAGACGGATATAACGTGAAAATACTTGAATAATTCGAGTCGCCGTAGTATCGTCATGGATTTCGAATAAATTTAAGCGTGTCACGTTCCGTTAGGATAAATTAATCCACGATCAATTAAAGCCTCAGAGGAGAAAAAACGAAAAGAGGATAGGGAGAAGAGCGAGGGAGAGAGAATGAGAGGGTGAGAAGGAGATAAATGGAACACGAACGAGATAGAAAGAGCGTTTAGTATCGAATCGGCAATTCCGATATCAAATCGAGCGTGAACAACTCTCCAAAAATAAAACGATTTTCGGAACGTGCCAATGCAGAGACTCTCTTTCTCTCTCACTCTCTCTTTCTTTCTTTTTCTACCGATTTGTTACTACTACTTTTGGAAAATTTGACCGATCGCACGTTCCATTTAATTATTCGTACAGTTCACTTATTTCATTATTATCATCATTAAAGTGAATTAATATCGACGATTAACAAACAAGTATACACAGCTCGTGTATTTTATTATAGATCGCTCGGATACAAGACTATACTTAATTTATATTTTGATGACAAATTTTAATAGCCATCGTTAAATACGGTGATCTCTCTTCTTAAGGTTAGTTCGCCTACTTTCAAAATTAATAGCAGTTTGATATATGCATCTAAGTAGATACATGTACGTACGTATGTACATATATGTAAGTATCTATATCGTACTCGTTAGTGGTTTGGAAGATGGACGGATCAACGTAAGTTTAACGTAGATGAGGTCTTACAGCTTCTAACGTGTATATATATATATATATATATATATGTATGTATGTATGTATGCGTACATATATACATGTATATATGTAGATACGTATATACCAACACGTATCCTTCTCATATAAAATAGCCCAAAGCATTTGAATTACGTGTCACGTAAGCAGTACCCTTAACTTACGGACATCGGACATCGGACCACCCTCGTTATCGCTTGAGACATAACGGAATTACCATCGATTCTCTGTAGTTGCTTTTAATTAATGCAATTAATGAGGTCACTAACAGTCGAACGTGCCGTGTTTAACTCTTGGGAAGAGGCACGTCGTCTTAGGATTTCTCTGTGGATATTTCATCGTGTTTCCATGTGCATTTGACCTATCGTGAGTAATATCTATGGATACATACGTACGTATATATATATATATATATACACACGCACGTCTACTGCTTTGATTGTTCAACGCTAGATTGCGGATTTCATATTTATGACACGTCGCTCAGGTACCTCGCTCGAGCTTGTAAAT